CAGGGTTGGACCTTGTGAGGATTTGGTTAAGGGCGCCACATAATCCCAGGGCTTTAGGCTAGTTGTTGAAAAAGCATTCTAGAAGAAATTGGTTCCGTGCTATTACTAAGAAAACTAAATTGATTTTGAAGTCATCAGGAGTTGAGATGGAAACCGAAGTAGAACTTATATAGCTTCACTTTTAAAATGAAAAAAAAAAAAAGCTTAATCATGGCTTACAAGAAAAAAAATACTTATTTTTCATTGGAATATTCTGGTGTGATCCCATTCTTTCCAGCATCCATGACTTGACTTTGGAACGTTTTTCTCCCAGGTGGCAGTTGAGGTAAGGGCCATCTTAGCCTGGATGGAGAAGATCCCCTTTGTGCTTGGTGCCAACTTCCAAGGGGGCGAGAAACTCATTACCTATCCATTTAACATGGCTCGGCCCATCAATGAGAATGAAGTAGGTCGTCCACCATCTCTGGAGGACTATGAAGAGGAAAATCCAGAAGCCAAAGAGACCCCAGACCATGCCATCTTCCGCTGGCTGGCGATTTCCTATGCATCAGCCCATCTCACAATGACGGAAACGTTTCGTGGAGGCTGTCACGATCAAGATGTGACCAACGGAATGGGGATTGTCAATGGGGCCAAGTGGAAACCACAAGCAGGCAGTAAGTATGAAGCATGGAAGAAAAGCAGAAGGAATCTCAACAGGCTGATCTGTTAGGGGAAGTGCCATTATTGATAATACATAGCTGCATGTGGATGTACACATTTCAAACAAGATTCTTTCAAGTTCTCCTGCCTCTTTTTGCTTTCAACCTGTGTTTGTCTAATGCCGTTTTTGGTCCTCTGCTCCTTGGTTCTGAATTTGCATAGAGGATGTGAGTCATTCTATATTTTTTCATAACAATGTTGATCTTTTTGGTTCAAAATATCTTCCCATTTTGCAGAACATAAAAAGGAAGGAGAAAATAGCAAGATGAAGAATTTAAAGGCATGAGATAAGGAAATTTCAGAATTGTAATCTTGTATGTGTCTGTGTGTGTATGTGAGTGCGTATGAAGCAGTGACACTAGATTTAGATAGATTCCTGGGTCGGTGTGACCTCCAATAGGAAATGAGGCTAAATAGGAGATCTTTATTGTTTAAGCAGTTCTCTCATGAAATTTGGTTTCTCATGAAATTCACCCTTTGAGGATTTAAACGTCAATCAGGTTTTCTAAATTTCACTTCATCCTCTGACTTTGCAGTCTTTGTACAATTTGTAGAAGTGAGTTTGTCAAGGGAATTAAGCCCTTAAGTGGAGAGTAGAGGGTGATGTCCTTTTCCTGCTAACTCTTTCAGCCCTGAACGATTTCAGCTACCTACACTCCAACTGTCTAGAGCTCTCCATCTACCCTGGGTGTGACAAATTTCCCCATGAAAGTGAACTTCCACAGGAGTGGGAAAACAACAAGGAATCTCTTCTGACATTCATGGAGCAGGTGAGGTGCAGAGTTGGTCCACAGAATGAACAAATCTTTTCAGCTAGGCTGGGTCAGTCAGTAAGGATTAAACCAGTAATATACCATTACTTCTATCTGCATGTAACAGGTGAGTGCCCTTCACCAAGTCATGAAGAGAACAAGTTGTTCATCCACACAGTTGGTTGGATAGAGTAAATGGAAAACAGTTGTACTTTTCATGTGTTGTCTCCAAATAGTAATTTTAATGGAAAAAAGGGAAATTATTAATGCACATTTTAAAATTACATTTATAATTCATGTTTTCTTTGGAGCTCAAGATGGTGTTTAGAGCAGTCTCTACTTACTCTCCCATCAAAAAGCCAATGAGCTTATTATCTTGAGCTAAGTGACTGGCTCCATGTCACTTAATAAACTGTTTGGCTGGATGGGGATTTAAATCTAAGTATCTCTAGTTCAAGATCAGTGCCTAATATGCTAAATTACATTGTTTTTATGTACCTCACTGGAACATTGAAAGCTCGCTTAGTTCTTCTGTTGTCTGCTACTCAAGGACAGTAGAAATATTGGATGGTTGGACAGTGTTTAGAGTTAGTTCCTGCACTGTTCTTATTCTGAGCACCCTCAAGCATTTTGATGGATGGCAATTACCAGAACAAGTTTTTTTCCGGTTGCGTACAAAACGAAGTATATCTAGTGCACTAACTTGGAATACATACCAAGTATCCTATGAACCATCAGAGTTCTTATCAGGCATCCGAGTTTTCATAATAGCTTAACGGACTTTTCAGAAGTGTGTCCTGGAGGCCCGAGGTGGATGATCACAGGAAAGGCAACATCTAAACAATTTAAAATAAAAATATAATTCTCCTACCCTAAAGACTTTGTCTTACAGGTACATCGTGGTATTAAGGGCACAGTGACAGATCAACAAGGAGATCCCATTGCAAATGCATCCATTTCTGTGATGGGGATCAATCATGATGTGCAAACAGGTATGCGTAGAATAGTGAAGACAAATATACAAGTCCTTTCTTTGAGCCTTCTTAGCACACGCATCTCCTTGATCTTTTTGCTTGCAAAGCACGCGCCTTTTTTCACACACAAAGAACAACAGAGTGGGAAGGGACCTTGTAAGTCTTCTAGTTCAACCCCATGCTCAAGTAGGAGACCTATACCATTTCAGACAAAAAGCCTCCAGTGATGGACCAAAATGTACTATTGATTGTTTTCAGTGTTAGGAAATTCTTGCTTCTCTCCTTCTTTAGTTTCCATTGCTTCTTATCTTCTGGTGCTTTGGAAAATAGGTTGACCTTCCTCTTCTTTGTGGCAGCCCTTCAAATACTGGAACACATTTCCTTATCTGCAATCAGTTTCAGCATCATAGCAATAGCACTTAGACTTACATACCATTTCAGTGCTTTACAGCCCTAAACATTTTACAGTCAGCATATTGCCCCCAACAATCTGGGTCCTCATTTTACTGTCCTCGGAAGGCTGAGTCAACTTTGGGTTGGTGAGACTCAAACTGCCAAACTGCTGGCAGTGGGCAGAATATCACAGGCAGAATTAGTCTGTGATACTGCATTCTAACCACTGTGCCACCATGGCTAATCCGATATTGCTCTCTTGTGTTCCAGCAACTGGAGGAGATTACTGGCGCATCCTGAATCCTGGCGAATACCGCGTTACAGCCAAGGCCGAGGGCTACAATCCGAGTGTCAAAACCTGCAGCGTCTTTTATGACATTGGAGCCACCCAGTGCAACTTCATCTTGTCACGGTCCAACTGGAAACGCATCCGAGAGATCATAGCCATGAATGGCAATCACCCACTTGGGAGGCCCATGCTGGGACGACCCATGACACCTAAGGAGCGCATGCGCTGGAGGATGAGGATGCGCCAAAGAGCTCGCCTGCGCCAGAAGATGCTTGAACGGCTGCGGAAAGCCAGCACAAGCATTCCCACCACCGTTCCTCCAAGTTCTGCATTTTCCTTCTGGTTCAGCAGCACCACGCTCCCACCGTGGAGCCAAGAGCCTCCCATTGCAGAATCAGCCACTTCTTGGGATGCCGATGTCTACACCGAGACGGTGACAGAATGGGAGACAGTAACAGAGGAAGTAACCGAGGTGGAGATGACTGGCACTGCCTTTCCCATGACCACAGCAGAGACGTACACAGTGAACTTTGGCGATTAGGATCAGCCTGTCAAGTTTGTGAGGACTGCAGGCCAGGAACGCTCTAAAGACATTCCTAAAGCCTACTCTGCCTCTTCTGGAGCAGGTAGTGGTATCTATTCACTGTAGTATGTGGAGGCATGTTCTCCTAGTTTTAGGACCCACCAGGAGCCCCTTGCTTTAAGCAGGCTCTAAGAGCCGTCACATTTGCATCATTTATTTTTCAAACACACACAATGAACAACTTTCTCTTTCTTCTTTGGATATAAAGGCTCAGCTTTCTTTATAGGGTTGGAATACTGAATGGAAAGTTGAGGTGAACAAATTGTACCTCTCAGGATGACTATAGAATAGGGAACAAGCTAAGAACATAACCTGGTTGAATCTTTTAATATTCTGGTATGTTAACCTTTTTTTTTTTAATTCCTACTTTATGTTGTTCTTTATAGCAGGGGTCCCCAACCCCCGGTCCATTGGCCAGCACAGGTCCGCAGCATGCCAGCAACTGGGCAGCGCAAAGAAGCAAAGCCCCATCCATGGGATGCAGGCAGCATGCAAAACCACACGACCTCCAGTCCATGGAAAAAATCTTTCTCCATGAAACCAGTCCCTGGTGCCCCAAAGGTTGGGAGCCACTGCTTTATAGTATAGTGTAAGATTCTTGCAATGGGGAAGGAGAAGCAAACTAGGCTTTTATCCAAAGGCCCACAGCTATTGCTTCCCCATGTAAATTCACTGAAATAATGGAGCCCATCAAGCACTGACACATATTTGGGGCACAACCAAAGTTTTATCAAAGTGTCCCCATGACTGTTAAATTGCAGTCATTTATGAAAGGGATCTGCTATATGAAAAATTCAGATTTCTTTCCAATTCTATTTAAGAAGTGAAATAATTCTTAAAGCATAGAATAAGACCATAACTAGAACCAGAGCAAAAACTGATTAACTTGAACATTGATTTGAAAAAGAAGACCTATTTTTGACTTCTCAAAATGCCAACCAGTTTAACTTTCCAAGGCATAAATGGCTTTCTTTCAGTTTTCTTCACTTGATCCGGCTTGAATTCCCATAGGATTCTGGGTATTTTCCAAAGTGAGGAGCTGGTACAGCCTAATCTTCTCCCAGTTACAAAGTCAGTATCACTTTGTTGTGGTCCTAACATCAAGGAAAGCTGTTGCCTTGATTGCAACAGTCAAGAAGGAAGATTGAGATTTTCTAAATCCATGGATGACTTTGAAGCAGCTGCTGCCCAGGAGGCAGTCCAGGGTCACCTTGAGTCTTTTTGGTTTTCCAACAGTTGTATTCATTGAATAAAATGAATTATACAAGAAATTCCCCTTGTTTTTGGTCATGAAGATCAAACACACATGAAGGAACCGGAATATTTTATTGTATTCCTATCTATCTGAATCAAAGGTCAAACTCTACAGTAAAAAGCAGGAACAAGGATGACTCCCAAGTTCCAGAAAGAAGGAGAACTAAGCCCATATCTCTTAGTTACTAGTCTCCATCACTATCTCTTCTTCTTCATCATCACCAAAGGCTGAGAAAGTAATCGGCTGACAAGCAAGATCGCACAAATTGATCAAGCAAGCGGTCTGTGTTGAGCTGAAATCAGGTAGTGTCACCAGCAAGACTTTCTGGCCATCTTCCCCTGCAAAGGAGGAAGGAAGACAAGTGAAGACAACTATCAGAACTTTGGAAGGGACAGGCAAAGATGAGGAAAGGGTCCCCCTCTTCCCAAGTTAGGAAAAACATTCGTGATTGCTGTTGTTTTTAAAGAAAGTTTTCCTAATTTTTATCAGGGTTTGTATTAACATTTGCCTCTCTCTCACAACTGGCTTTTAAGAGCCACCAAGGTAGATGCCAGATTCACCCGTGTTTGCAAACTGTACTCACATTGCCCGTTCATGCCCTACCACCATGGCAGAGTGTGATTTGTAGAGAAGTTGCCAAGTTGAAGCCCTGCTCTCATCAGAAAGGTTTAAGGATTAAGGGATGGTAAAGATATAAAAGATTCTAGCAAACAACTTGCAAATCAGGGAACTGACATTTTTTTTCTACCTAGAGCAGGGGTGTCAAACTCAATTTCATTGAGGGCCACATCAGGGTTGTCTTTGACCTCAGGGGGCCGGGGTGGACATGGCCAGCTCAACATCACTGTTGGTGGCCTGAGAACTCTGGCAGACGCACTGTGGGCCAATCCTTCACTGTTTCCAGGGCGGTTCCATGGGCCAGATCTAAGCACCTCACGGGCCAGATCCAGACCTCGGGCCTTCACACCCCTGACCTACAGCAATTTTTCTTTGACTTTCAGTAGACAAAAGTACCACTTGGGACAGGTGGTGGTGGGCTGGATGGACAAAGCTCTTAGTATAACACAGATTCCAGGGCTTTAGGCTAATGTAGCTTGTTGTGGGATCTACTAAGAACAAAAATATCTAATAAAAATAAGCCAACTTGTAAAACCAGAACTGGTGCAGCTGAGAAAGGGTCTTGGTACTTACAAAAACATTGAACTATCCAATTTATTGGGGAGATTTAAGATTTACATTGAATAGCAGCAATTTATATAATCCTGCATCTGAATGTTGTCTGCAAATATTTCAAGCAACATTTCAAAAGTTTAGTTTAACTCACTCCCCAGACTTTTGGGCAAAATATTGTAGGCTCAAGTACATCCTGGTTACATAATGGTGAGCTTTTTCAACCGGTTGTTATGCTGGCAAAGCTGCAAAAGCTACATCAAAACCTCTGCACAGGAGCTGTGAGAAATTTCTATAGTATATTGAGAATATTCTATGTTTTAGCAATGTCTGCCATTCTCCACCCCCCTTTTTTTGCATGGTTCAGGCTCCTTTCTGCAGCAAACCCCATAAAAGACAGCAAACTCCATCATGGGGCAATTCACTTCACAGGTGGGTGGGTGGGACCAAAGAGCAGATCTATATCCTGTGTCAATCCTAATATTTATATGAACAGTTACTGATTTTAAAAGCAACTAAACAAGCAGTTTTCAAAATGTTTTTTTTTTCCAGAAAAACAACCAAAAAGTTCTTTGTTCTCTAATCTACATCTTTGCCAACTCTGATTTAGCATGTTGGACGATCCAGCAAATATGTTCATTAAATCAACCATGGTTAAATCATGTCTTCATACCAAGTGAGAATCTAGTTGTTTGCTGGGACAATGAAACTCAAGAAATGTATCCTGGGCTTCCCATCCTGCTTTTATTCTTTTCTATCTGGTGGTGGAACCTTGTGTTTCGCAGGACACTGGCTTCCAATTTATTGCTTACGCCCTTAGGAAAAAAGCCACCAAGTCTCAGCCAGGAAGAAGCCAAGCCTGTTTTACAGAGGACACAGCCGCCAATACTGGCTTACCTTTGATTTCCTTGGATTTGAAGGAGGGCGCATTGCCACAGAAATAGATATGAGGGCAATCACTGAAGATGAAGGGGTCTGTCTTGTAAAATGGATAGCAGCCTGAAAGACAAGGCAGATCAGGGACTTTAAATAAATGGCCCACCAGCAGGCAGCCTTAAGGCAAAATATGTGATCAGCTCCTTGCATGGAACCAACTCGACATGCTTCAGAAGATCGATAGTTCCAGGCAGGCTGTGACCGTGCCATAAAAACACAGATCATTTAGGCCGATTTGGGTTTGGGCCAAAACCCATGGGAGTTTGAAAGGATATGTAGGGTTCAGCTGGTGCACCTCACTCTGCTGCTGCTGCTTCTCTCCAGGGTGTTTCTACCCAGTGATTTTTCTGGCACCTTCCTGCATCCCTTCCTGTTGAATCCAAATGCAGCATATATGCACTCAGCCCACTGGGCCTCATCCCAATCTTCCCTGTTCCTTCCACACCCCCTCAAGGAATCTAACTTTCCTGCCAAAGCATACATCCAGCCTTCCTTTTCCCTGCTCTCCCCTACAGTTCTATTGGAATACACAGGCTTCAGTTCTGGGCAGGGATCTAACACCTGCTCCACAGGATAAAGCACCTGAAAAAGTGCAGTTGCTTTATCCTGTGCAGAGGATATTCTACCTACAGACAATGGTCTACTGTACATCTCTAGGAAATATTGTTGAAAACGTAGGTACTGAATTCTCCATTTGCAACCCCAGAGTTTTATGCTTCTGCATTGCATTCTCACTGGCTTTAGATATTATGGGCACTCTTTTATGATAGAGCAATCAGATATTTAATCATAATCATATATTTAAGATATATTATAGAAATTAACACAAAGAGGAGGAAGCAGACACTGATCTTCCACTACAGGCAATTATCTCCTCCTCCTTTACCCAAAAATACTTAAATTGCACATCTGAGAGGTCTTGCTAGCAACTAGACTAATTCCCCCATAATACACCCCAGGTCAAACAACCTGCGAGTTGGTTTAGCCCATCTGCAAAGCTTAAAATAAGATGAACAAACCCAGCAAATGTATCTCTTAGTTATATTACCCAGAGTGTCTGGAGCTGTGGGGCTGAGATGCCCAATCCTTAAGGTCCATTCCAGAATTTCCAGATAATCAGACATGCTGCTGTACTTGAAAATATCACTTACATTTTGGCCTGAAGTTCCCAGAAATCTACAGAGAAAAATGGCAAGTGTTTTATATTTGAATAAGAAGGAACTCTGATGTAGAATGTCAAGGAAAGGACTTTATGCATTATATTTTTATCCTACATATTTTCAGGGTAACTCAGTAACATACAGGCAGTCCTAACTTAATGTTCAACCATTCAATGATTGCTGAAAGTTACGATAGTGCTAAAAAAAATAGTTGACTTCTGGCAAGCAGTCAATTGGGAAGTTGGATTCATTTAACAACTGCAGTGATTCACTTCACAACTGTGGCACAAAATATTATAAAATTGGGCAAGACTCTCTTATGAACCGCCTTGCTTAGCAACGGAAATTCTGGTCCCAATTGTGCTTGTAAGTTGAGGACTACCTGTACAGAACAAAGATGCTGGTTTTTACCTGACTCCATCAATGTTTGCCTGGTATGGGTTGGTGACTAGCTGCAGGGTGGTGTACGCATTTGAGAGAGGAAACATGCAGCGATGCAGGGGCTGCTGAGGCAACGTGTAGTTGGTTGGATCAAACTCGCCTGGCATCACATCAACAGGGATGGACATCTGTAAGGGAAGAGTGGGGAAGCTTGTTCAGTTCCCAACCATTATTCCTTGTCTGGCCTTCAGAGGCTTTGGAAAATAGCTTGACCCCTTCCTCTCTGTGGCAGGCCATCAAAAAAATTAATAATAATAATAATAATAATAATAATAATAATAATAATAATAATAATATTTATATACTGCCCTTCTCCCGAAGGACTCTGCGTGGTGTACAGCCAAGATTAAAAACATAAATTTACAATATCATAGTTAAAATTAATTAAAATCATTAAATAGTTTTGGCCAAATTTTAAAACCCAATATTAAAACCCAATTTAAAATCATTCAGTTAGATAGCCCCGCCTGTCGGAACAGTAGGGTCTTGAGGGCACAGCGAAAGACCCGGAGGTCAGAGATGTTACGAATATCCGGGGGCAATTCATTCCAAAGGGCAGGAGCTCCGACAGAGAAGGCTCTCCTCCTGGATATCGCCAGCCAACATAACTTGGCCGACGGTACCCTGAGGAGTCCCTCTCTGTGGGAGTGGACTGGTCGGTTGGGAGGCTATTGGTGGCAGAAGGCGGTCCCATAAATATCCTGGTCCTATGCCATGGAGCGCTTTAAAGGTGGTGACCAATACCTTGAATTGCACCCGGAAGACCACTGGGAGCCAGTGCATCTCGCGCAGGAGGTGTTACATGGGCGTAATGAGGTGCGCCCATAACCACCCACGCGGCCACATTCTGGACCAGTTGGAGCCTCCAAATGCTCTTCAAGGGGAGCCCCATGTAGAGAGCATTACAATAGTCCAGATGGGAGGTGACGAGGGCGTGAGTGACCATGTGCAAGGTTTCCCGGTCCAGAAAGGGACGCAACCGGCGGATCAGGCGAACCTGATAAAAAGCCCCCCTGGCTACGGCCGTCATATGCTCTTCTAAAGACAGCCGTGAGTCCAGGAGGACACCCAGATTGCGAGCCCTTTCTGTGGGGGGCAAAGATTCACTCCCAATAGTCAGCGATGGCACCAGCTGACTATACCGGGACGCCGGAAGCCACAGCCACTCGGTCTTGGAAGGGTTGAGCTTGAGCCTATTTCTCCCCATCCAGACCCGCACAGCCTCCAGGCAGCGGGACATCACATCAAGGGCATCATTGGGGTGGTTTGGGGTGGAGATGTACAGCTGGGTGTCATCAGCGTACTGATGGACTCTCACCCCAAAACCACAGATGATCTCACTCAGCGGCTTCACATAAATGTTGAACAGAAGGGGCAAGAGGACTGATCTTTGCGGCACCCCCCAAGCGAGGCACCTCGAGGTTGACCTCTGCCCCCCTGCCAACACAAACTGTGAGCGGTCGGTGAGGTAGGAGAACCACCGTAACACGGTGCCTCCAATTCCTAACCCTCAACTGCTGCAGCATGATACCATGGTCAATGGTATCAAAAGCCGCTGAGAGATCTAATAGAACCAGGACAGAGGAGCAACCCCTGTCCCGAGCCCTCCAGAGATCATCAACCAACGCGACCAATGCCGTTTCTGTGCTGTACCCCCGCCTGAAGCCCAACTGGTACGGGTCCAGATAGACAGCTTCCTCCAGGTACCGGGGTAGCTGTCATGGCACCACACTCTTGACAACTTTAGCCACAAAGCAAAGTTTGGAGAGCGGACGGTAATTTGCTAATACAGCTGGGTCCAGGGATGGCTTCTTGAGGAGGGGCCTCACTACCGCCTCTTTCAAGGTGGCAGGAAAGGCACCCTCACTCAAAGAAGCATTTATAATCCCCTGGAGCCAGCCTCGTGTAACCTCCCGGGAGGCCAGTACCAACCAGGAGGGACACGGGTCCAATAAACATGTGGCAGCACTAAGCCTACCCAGAATCCTGTCCACGTCCTCGGGAGCCACAGGGTCAAATTCTTCCCAGATAATATTCTCAAGACTCACCCCCGTCTCCCTCCCCGGACTCACCCAGTCGGAGTCCAAGCCTTCCCAAATCTGAGCGACTTTATCATGCAGGAATTGCACAAAATCCTCAGCTCGACCCTGCAAGGGATCTTCCCACACTTCCACCCGAAGGAGGGAGTGGGTCACCCTAAACAGAGCAGCTGGGTGGTTCTCTGCAGATGCGATAAGAGCAGAAAAATAGTTAGATTTTGCCGCTTTTATTGCCACTAGGTAGGTCTTGATATAAGATCTCACCTGTGTCCAGTCAGATTCGGATTGACTAGTCTTCCAAACACTCTCTAGGCGTCTTTTCTGACGCTTCATCTCTCAATTGAGATCAGCATCGGGTCAGAGGCCGCAAAGGCACGACGCGGTCCAAAGCCCCTGTGGCCGCACTATCCCAAGCGGCCACCAGGTCTTCAGACGAGTTGTGTGCCAGAGTCTCAGGAAACGGCCCAAGCTCCATCTGGAACCTTTCGGAATCCATCAGGTACCTGGGACGGAACCATCTAGTCGGTTCTGTCTCCCTGCGGCGGGGGGAAGCGGCTTGAAAGTCTAAGCGAAGGAGCGAATGATCTGTCTATTGCTTGGGTTTAATGTCTAGGTCCCCTCTACCAAAATCATTCAGCCACTGACCAGAGATAAAAATCAAGTCCAGAGTGTGTCCCCCTGTGTGAGTGGGGCCTTGCACTAACTGGGTCAGGTCCATGGCCGTCATGGAAGCCATGAAGTCCCGAGCCACCTCTGACGTCTCACTGATGGATGGCAGGTTGAAGTCCCCCATAACAATAAGTCTGGGGGTATCAACCGCCACCCCGGCAATCCCATTGAGTAGTTCAGGCAGGGTTGCCGCCACGTGGCAGGGAGCCAGGTACGTAGTCAGCAAACCCATCTGCACCCCACGACCCCACTTCACAAAAAGGGACTCACATCCGGCTATCTGAGGAACAGTGGCCTCCCTCGGACAAAGACTTTCTCTAATAATTGCCGCTACTCCCTCGCCCCTCCCCTGGGCCCTCGGCTGATGAAATGCACGGAAGCCTGGAGGGCACATTTCAAGAGGGGAAACCCCCCCCCTCCTGGCCCAACCAGGTCTCCGTAATCCCAGCCAGGTCTACACCCCCCTCCACAATAAGATCACAAATGAGGGGGGCTTTGTTAATTACCGACCTGGTAAATATTGGAAGACTGCTATCATGTCTCCTCTGGTCCTTCTTTTCACTAGACTAGCCATTCCCAGTTCCTGCAACCATTCATCGTATGTCCAGGGAACACTTCTCACCATGGACCGAGGGAAAAACAGAACAGCTTCTTCACCCTTTCTTGAAAACAAAACTTACACAGAGCTGCAGCAGAATTTCATCCAGCATTTTTACAGCTTCCACACTGGCTGCTTGAGTCTTCTTGGTGAGGTATTTTGCCTGCATGACAAGGTACAAAAAAAGAGCAAAGTATGAATTAAAAGGAAATGAAAGAAATGCTGAATGAATACAAGAGAAGCTAAAGGATAATAGTTAAGGACTCTTCCCCCCTCCTGCCTGCCTTCATAAGGCAGAAATATCCCCTTTGTTAAGTCTCTTTAATGACAAGGAATAGGGCTGTACTGATGTTCAAGATGTAGGTTTACATCAAAATTCAAAAGACGGACTGGAGCATGTACAAAGAAAGTGATAGCACAGTCTGGAGTGGGTAGGTATAGAGGCTCAAAACTTCCCAACTCAAAATAGGAGATAAACCAAAATGTTGAATAGGTAGAAAGCATAAAAATTCCACTGGAGATTTTATGACAAGTTGGAATCCTGGCTCAAAAAACTAAAGCCATCAATTTGCTTTAAGATTCCATAATAATTTTCTTGAGAAATTTTCACAGGGATTGGTTGACTGCTGTTTAAATGTATCCTGCAAGCATAAAAGAATCATAACTACAAAATTGGGAAACCATACCTCAGAAGGTACATCAATTTATGTCCATTAAGCCCCACATATATTTAGATCATCAACGAATTTGCTATGATCTTCCATCTGAAGTAACAAAACTAGACATTTTAGCTAGTTTGGTCTAGTGGTGAAGACACCAGGTTAGAAACCAGGAGATTGTGAGCTTTAATCCCTCCTTAGGCATGAAAGCCAGCTGGGTGGGCCAATCACCAGGAGATTGTGAGTTCTAGTCCTACCTTAGCCATGTAAGCTGAGTGATTTTTGGGGCAATCACTCTCAGCCCAACCTACCACAGAGGATGGTTGTTGTGGGGAAAGCAGGAGGGAGTATTAGCAATGTTCACCACCTTGTTCACACTACAATAATGGTATGATAAAAATAAACCTAACAAATCACTCTCCACTCCTTTGGAATGGAGAGTGAAAGAAAGACACAACATAAATGCAATGTATAAGCTAACAGTGTGGTTCACAGGACATTTCTGACACCTTCTTCACCTTGTTCATGCTGTCTCTGCTCTGGGTATTCTGGCTAAGCAAGTTGCCTGCCAGAATGACCCGAGAAATTAGGGCCGCGCTGGATTGCTCCCCCTCTGCGCCCAGCTGTCCTGTCACCATGTCCACCAGAAGCTGCATGCCCAGGAGACTGTCTCCACTCTTGCCACCAAGGCCCAGGCCTGACACCAGCAAGACAAACCTGCAAGGTGAAATACAAGCCATGGGAGTCAGAGAACAGAGTGGCTTTTGTACTCGGAAATGGCTTATGTCGGGGCTTCTAGAAATCTCTAAGGAAAGAAGGGAAGGAGCCCCATCACCAGGATCACTCGACCACAAAGATGGCATTTTCTCAGGTCCATGTAAATGAGCAGCCAGCAGCCAGGAGGGTGAAAAGATGCTATGCTGTCACCAGTGGATGGAGAACAATTTTAGGTCCATTTATCCCCTGAGGAAGGGGTTGGTGTTTTTTTAAGAAAAAGGACAATATGTGCATTAAGCTTAGTCAAGGTTTCATGCATCTATTTTACTTTCTTTGCCAAAAAGGATGCCTGGTGTTTTGTCAGTTTGCTGCTAAGTTTCAGTGATGCCATCGCAGATACTCCAAGGTCCATACCACCAAAAGAAGGTGAGTATCTTGGCCTACACAAGTATAAATAAATTGTTAAGTAATTATTGATTGATCCACCATTAAGGGGAGATCTCTGAGGAACTGTATCTCTGAAGATGGCCACTTGCGAGAACAAACTTGGGAGCCTGTTCCTCATTCCAGTTCTAGGCTGACAATCGGTGGAAAGACTACAGGTAGTCCTTGACTTACAACAGTTCACTTAGTGACCGTTCAAAGTTACAACGGCACTGAAAAAAGTGACCTATGACCATTTTTCAGTTACAACCTTTCTAACATCCCCATGATTGTGAGATCAAAATCCAGATGCTTGGCGACTGGTTCACACTTATGACCGTTGCAAGGTCATGTGATCCCCTTTTCCAACCTTTTGACTCTCAAAGTCAATGGGGAAGCCAGATTCACTTAACAACTAGGTTATAAACTGATCAATTTTAGTGATTCACTTAACAACTGTGGCAAGAAATGGGGGCAAAACTCACTTAACAAATGTCTCACTGAACAACAGAAAGATCGGGCTCAATTGTGGTCATAAGTTGAGGACTACCTGTATTCTGAGTGACAGAGAGCCCTGGACTGCTTCAGCAGAGGTTGTCATAGGACAAGGTTATAGGAGGCCTCACTTGTCTGTGCTGGGCCCCATCATAGGCAGCTGGGTTGGCATATCTGCAAAGCAGTGATCTTCCACAAGGAATCTGCCATCGTCCTTCTCTGAACCATAGACAGCAAGGATGGTCCCTGAAATGGCAGAAAGGGGAAGACATGAGCAATTGAATGGGAAGTTTGCCTCCACAAAAGCCAGACATTCAAAAAATGTCAAGTACAAGAAGCTCAAAACAGGGTCATTGGCCCACCTGTCACCAGCTTGTCAATCGGTATCTCTCCCTCAAGTTTGATCCGCTGCAGCTCATCCTCCAGGATCAGTTCATCTGACTCATGAATGTATTTGAGGCGGGGAGGATGGGGAGGCAGGTTGTGCTGTGAAGATGAACAAAATCTTGCCATCAGGAAGAAGCAAATGCATACCAGCTTTGATGCTAAGTCTCTGATACACTTGGCAGGAGCTAAAGCACAAATTTAAGCTGCTTAACTTTAAATCTCTTCTTGGCCTAAGGACCTCCTTTGTGCATTTTTTCATTCTGGGGTGTGACAGAGACTCACAAAAAGATTGCTACGGTGAACATGAATAATTTAGCATAGTGCAAACTGATGAAGTTTCTTCCAGTCTCTCTTACACCTCCCCCTAATGGTCTCCATCCCTCCATCTCACCCTTTCTCCCACTCTAGATAAGGGGTGTATTTCCAAATGAAGTAGTGGGGTGCAGTCAAAAGAATGCCTGCAATTCTAGAATACAGGGTTTTTTTTGTCAGTCTTCTGTTCAATTTTTCTTAATTGCAAGAATCCAAAACTATCAGATAAGGAAGGGAGACTGGCTGATACAAAGAAGGCACCAATGTATGGATTCAGTTGCTTATCAAGCTTTTCTGAGAACATTGAAATCAGCTTCCTGACAATGTTGAATGTCAGCAGCTGCTGCATTATAGAAGCTGAACATATGGCTCCTAGGGCCTCAGATGACCACTAGATAAGATCTGAAACTTTAACACAGGTGTCTAAGTCTAGGAATAAAATACTTGGATGGGATACAACAGGGGTGTCAAACTTGTGGCCAGGGGCCAGATGCATCACGTGCTGGCCACGCCCACCTGTTTTAGTGAAGGAGGAAAAGTCGTGATACATCACGTGACGCCGCAAGTTTGACAGCCCTTGGATACAACATCCTTATCTCTCATAGATTTACATTTAGGGAGTGCCAAGACCTGTTCTGGAAAGCTGCTTAAGCAGTGAATTATCCTATGTCCATCAATGATATTTTTTTTTAGTTTTTCAAATTGATAGTTGAGTTTTAGCAATGCTGTGGTTTGTAACATATATTTTTAATACCCTCTTATTCTACAGGTAGTCCTCGACTTACAACAGTTCATATATTGCCCATTCGAAGTTATAACAACACTGGAAAAAGTGACTTCTGAACTGTTTTTCATACTTATGACCATTGCAGCATCCCCATGGTCACATGATTTATATTTGGGTGCTATTTATGACAGTTGCAGTGTCCCAGGGTGATGTGATTGCTATTTGTGACCTTGTCACCTTTTGTGACAAGCAAAGTCAATGGGAAAACCAGATTCACTTAACAACCGTGTTACTAATTGAACAAGTGCAGTGATTTACTTAACAACTGTAGCAAGAAAGGTCATAAAATGGAGCAAAATCCATTTAACAAATGTCTCACTTAATAACAAAAATTTTGGACTTAATTGTGGTTGTAAATCGAGGATTACTGTACTACCTTCAGAAAGGCCAGATAATAGTATTTTTAGGAATTATCTCATTCTCTATTGCTCCCCATGGTAAGCAGAGCAGAGGCTTCTCCATCACTGTCACCAGTGGTTTTACAGCAAATAAAGTTCTGTTTTATGTTGGCGGCATTTTAAGAAAAAATTACAGTCCATAAATAAATAAATAACTTCAGACTGCAGAGTTAAAGGGAAGATTGAAACATGCTATATCTAGAAAGACATGTTCAATAAACAGGAAAGAGCCAAGTTTCCACTATGCATTTAATTCCAGAAGCTCTGGCAGAAGCCTTTTCCTCCACAGGGAGAACGTAGCATTTGCTGGCAAAAACAATTTACCCCCTGGTCCCACAATTCTTCTCCAAAATCCTATGCACTGACAAACAATTGGAAATGGCTGAATCATCCCACATTTTTATCACTGAGGACTCTTAACATTCTGAAATAATACTTTTGAAATCATCAGTAAGAGCCTTGTGGATTTATGATATGCTCAGTCATTGCCAACACAGCAATGAATCAACTACAAAAAAAACCAGATCCATAAAGCAAAATAATCTTATAATAGCACTTATTTCCCAATCTGTCCTGATTAATGCATTAATAGTAATTCCTAAGATGTTGCTATTTTATGTTTGTTGGCACTCAGGAACACAGCAAGCAGGTTTTATTAAACAAACAAATTAAAAAATATCCTATAATGATGTTATTCATTTGATCAATAGCTTTTACAGCCAATCTTTGGTGGTAAATTTCCAACACGTTTGCCATCAATAGCATGCTATTGGAATGTCTTACTGGGACAAGTTTAATATTACTCATCAACTGTCCTTCCAAAATAAGCTAAATGTTAATCCAATTGTGCAAGAGATCAGTTTTTAAAATAATGTCTGTTTTACAAACTTCCAGATAGAACATTTATCTTTTTGCTCATACATCCTGAGTAATTATTATGCAAGAGGAGTTTGTTCAAGGAATTCTTCTTTCCACTTTCCAATTTTTTTTGATAACCCTAGCATTATACAAAGTACCAGGACTGTGAGTCCAGCAAGGTCATTGCAAAACTTGAAAGGGTCTGAAACTCAGTTGCAGGTTCTTTAGATGCAGATCTCTCAGTCTGCCTTTGATATCTCCCATGCTTCCTGAATGAAACCTGTAAAGTTCTTTTCTCATACCTCTTCACTGATTTCCCGTAAGATGGAAGGCTGAAGCTGCATACACTTGAAGAGTGTTCCCACCACACAACACTTCTCTGAGACCTGCAAGTCGCATAGCTTTTTCACTGTAATGTTGCTCCCTTTAGGAAAAGTAGACAATGGATTAAATGTGAAAAAATGTTAAGAGCCTATGATGTGGAATTAATTAGAAGGATTACTTCTAGTCAACCTGCTGAAAGCCTAACATCTGTCTAGTTTCTGGGCTCACAATGTAAGTTTTTATTTATTATTTTTTGAGGAAAAAGTATGTTCAATAGATGTTCCAAACTAGCATATTATAAAAGAACATATCAAGATTAAAAAAAAAATACTGTGATACTACGTACATCCTCAAAGTCCTACAGTGTCTACAAAACAAGACTTCATTAGGATAAGCTCACCCCATTTACGCCGGGCTCTGTCCACCAATAATGGTCTCATCTGGATAAGGCGTGTAGCATAGATATGAGCATATTGCCGACTGAAAGTTCGCTCCCCAAGCCTGAAATTCTGGGAGCAGTTGGTATATGTTGAGATGGGCACACGGGCAAAGGTGGAAGCAACTGCAGATGGGGATGTCAAGAGGCCCTGTGCAGACTGGATACCCTGCTCTGAGAACATTGTGTAGCAGAATTAAGCAGCTATGTAAATTTCTGTTGGAGACAAAGAAATTAGATGAGTGCTCAGGGAAGTGCTCAGGAATCTGGTAGCACCTTTTCTGACATGTTTTTCTTAAGAAGCATAAACTTTCATGAGATGCAGCTTACTTCACCAGCTGCCACTTTTTGTATCTCAAAAAACAGCTGAAACTCACAAGAAATTAAACCTTTAAAAACACGATTAATTTCTATAATCACCCATCTCAATAAATGACAGTTAGGTGGAAAAGGTGTTGAAGAGTCATTGCTGAGTTGGTTGTTTTCTTGCACATGTTCCATTACCTGAACTAGGTAACATCAGTGCTAAAAGTCTGTAGAGATTCTCAGTCATCCAGGTCATGGTTGTCCGAAAGGTGCTTTTTCAGGAGGCAACTGGACTTTTGTTCTTCTTTACTCATCCAAGAAGTTGAAGAAGAGAAATGTCTTCAAAGAAAAACAAGAAAGTCCAGTTGGCTCTTGAAAAAGCACCTCTTGGGGCATCTTCAGTGCTAGTAGAATGGGTTTGTTCTCCGTTTATATTCTAGTGGCTTGCCCTGTCAGTGTTGGGGTTCCTTTGGGCTGTTTACTGTTGAGTCCTCGCACTTACGACGAGGTCCTCGCACTTACGACACGCGGCTCTGATTGGCTAAGGCGCACCATCCAGCCGGCGGGAGAATACTAAATCCTTATTGGTTGTTGGTTTGACAGCTATGGTATAAATAGCTGTCAAACGCCTATTCTGTGCTCTGTTTCTCTCTCTCTCTGTTCTGTTAGCAATAAACGTTCCTGTTTGACTTTATCTGGTCTCGCCTCAGTTACTGACCCCGGGTTGCCCTACAGAGCATTTACTGTTAGCTTATTAGGCAATTCCTTGATTGGGTTGCTGTTTACTTCTTGACTGTTGGTCTGATGTTAATTTTGGCAGCCATTTATCACGTTGACTCCTGTCCTAAGCTGGGGCTGACTCAAGAGCCCCTTTAAATATCAGGATTTTAGGTTGGTAATGTAAAAGCTACTGCTTGTGGGACATCGTTTCATATTGCATTATGCAATAATTGGAAATACCAGTTATCTTCTGTTGCCTGCGTGCCAGTACTTTGCAAGGAGGGAACAAGAGTCCATTGGAATTAGGTGATTAATACATGAGGAAAAAATAAAATAACAGCAACAAGAATAGGCAGAAACCGTGCCAACCTACCACGCCAAGGCTTCCCTTGTTAGACTTCTACCTACCGGGCTCAGCTCTTCCCTCCAAGGCTCCCGATCGCCGGCGGAGCCCACCTTCCCCGCCCTCACCCCAGTGCTTCACTTGCCGAATTCCCACCTGCCATACAAATTCCCGCCCTCCCCCCTCCTTCAAGCACTGACCCGGAGGAAAAGAAAGTCTCCCCGATCAAAGCCAGCAGTCAGCCGCTCCTTCGCGCCGATCGAGCCCGCATCGCTCACAGAAACCCGGCAGGACCGCGAGCGAAGAGGAAAAGCGCGCCGAATCCCACGGCGGATATCAGGCTGTGAATGAGAAACGCCGACGGGAAGTGACGTAGAGGCGCCGCGCAGTCTTTCCTCCTTCCATAGACTCACGAATTTAGAGCGATAACGCCCTGGAAGTGATGTTTCCGGGTCGCTTTTTTTTTTTTGGTGCCTCTCCTTCGACACAGCCCCGCAGAGGGCGTTTTAGAACAGCTGGCTCTGCGGCACGAGGGAGGGGGCGTGTCCGCCCCCCCCCCGCTCTCAACGACGCATGCGCTTAATCCATTTCACGTTGTGTTGCGTGTTGGATTCGCACGTGGGTTCTTCGCCTTATATACAGAAGAAAAACCGTATCCTTAAAATCCTTTAGAACCACAACACGGACTGAATTCAGAAGCACTGAATACTCTTTCCATAAAAAGTAAAGGGGAAAACTTCAGTGAAAGCCTGGAAGATAAATATTAAGTTATTCTAAGGGTCACTCCAGCCTGGAAATAAAGATAATGGCTAGAACAGCAATTTTAAAGTCCAAGTGTGCATTTCATTTAACCGAGAAATTAGTATTTTAAATTAGAACATTGCAAGACAGGATAAGAAACTGTTTTAGAAGAAATCTAACAGTTGTAGGTTGTTCAAAACGCATAAAAACAGCTGCATTTAGGTGCCCGGATACCTTTGGGTGCGTTGTACAATAATTCAACTAGGAAATGAGGAAGGAAAGAAGGTCCTGTACAACATAGCTTTAAAAAAAATGTCAGTCTTAGATTGGTATTTCTATTTGGTGCTAAGGCATATTTTCATTCCTCTGAAAGATACAACTGAAATAAGAACCAGTTGCCCTCATTTCTGATGTAAAATAGATGTTCTCAAGAAAACAAAGTATTTATAGCATGGCCATATCCTGCTTTCAGTGTTTTCAACTACAGTGTCAGAGAAGTTATCTTCATGGCACTGGTCTCCATGGTCATTTGGGCTTGGAGTTCAGGATCAATGAACATCTGGCTTCTATTGAAGCATTTGACCACATCTTGCCTAACCAGCACTTTCCAAAGTATCTACTACTAGCCTTACCTTGGGCTTATTGTACTGCATATTTTGTATATCTGCCCTTGAGTGCAGCTTGAAATGGGTTTTATTTCATTATGTGATAAATACCATGCTTTGATGTTTAGAAATGATAGACCAAACTCACTTCATCACAACAGAGATCAGAGAACATTAATAACTTTTCTGACATTCTCCTGAAATAGCAAATCATCCCAAATGTGTATTAACCTTTAAAGGGAGGGGAGATTGCTATAATGTACAAAAACAAAAACAAAATACAGAATATATATATGGTTTGACTGCAAGTGTTTGGAGAATTGAAGAAAAATTCCTATAGATTGTGATTTTAATCTATACACTTACGTTAGCCATTAGCTGGTTCCAATCTGTTGATATATGGGCTTCATTTTAGAAGCCAAAAATTGAGGAACCAATTTCTTTAATAAATCAGCTATAACCAAAAAGCCAGGAAAGATGGCAAAAGCCATGTCTGAAATCACTGGGATTCAAAGTCTTCACCTCAATTTTCAACACCTCTTCCAGCTCAAAGAATCATAGACTGGAATGGGCCAGTTACATCCTCAACTTCAATCATCTGTTCAGTGTATAAATCAAAATTAAAGCATCCCTGGCAGATGGTTGGACACATCTAATGAGGAAATTACCCCATCTTTAAGTAATTGGTTCCATATTTCAAATTGTGCTTACCATTAAGAGATTCAACTGGAATCCTCAATTCATTATCTGAACACTATTACAGATAGTCTTTGACTTACAACAATTTAGCAACTGTTTGAAGTTACAATGGCACTGAAAAGATTTACAACTAGTCCTCACACTTATGACTGTTGCAACATCGCCACAGTTATGTAAATAAAATTTGGGCGTGTATTTACCATTTAAAATTTGTCATGTATTTACCAGGGTTTCCCTGTCCTGCTTGGGGTCATTTGATCACCATTTGTAACCTTCCCAGCTGGTTCCAACAAGCAAGTTGGAGAGCTGTTCAGCAGGAAGAGCAACAAACGGAGGGAGCTGGGCCTTAGCCTTGAGAAAAGTCAATGGGAGAAATCAGATCCACTTAACCGCATGATTCATTTAACAGCTGCACTGATTCACTTTACAACCATGGCAAAAAAAGATTGTAAAATCAGGCACTCACTTAAAGACCACTTTGCTTAGTAACAGAATTATGATCATAAGTCAAAGTCTACCTGTATAGTCTTTGTTTTCTTTTTTCCTTGTTTTGCACTTTTAGTAAATGGAGAACTGTCTTCTGTCTTGGTGATACGCATATATGACCTGAAAAATTTATCCCCATCTTTTCTCAAGCTAAGGCCCGGCTCCCTCCATTGTTTTTTGTACTCCCTCATTGTGTTCTTATCCAATTGACTATCAGCACTCCATGTTTCATGTAGATGTCAACACTCTTAGTGTACTATTGGAGTGATTTTTATTTTGTTCTTTCCCATTTCAAAGGGAAATATATGATCTCTGTCAGAGATAAAAATCTGCTGATTCTATTTTTTTTCATGCCAGTCTGTTGTAAAAATCCTGCCTCTTCGAAGTATTTAATTTAATTTATTTATTCATTTCATCAAGCATATATTTTATGACAGATAGAAGTGTAAACATAATTATAAATACATGAAAAGGATATGAATAAAACATTAGGATAGGGATGGTAGGCATGCTGGTGTGCTTATGCACGCCAATATCAATATCAATATCAATATCAAGTAGATATGCTATCTACTTGAAAAGACAACTAGACCAAATACCTTAACAATATTTGAGAGGTCTTAAATTAATTAAGAATCTGGTAAAAGAAGATGAAAATTTAATTTTAATCTTTTCTCCTTAAGTTGAGCATCTTAATGTCAGGGCTGTCTTCCATTCAGTTAAGCAAAGGACTTGCATTCCCTTTAAAATACAGGTTGTAACCTGTGTGATTACAAGTGATTTTGTGTGAATCAGAGTTGGAAAGAGTTAAATTCTCTCATCCCCTCCACTCAGTTCTGAGCTTCCTTGTCAGTGCTATTTATATTTATATGACAAATAGCATGCGTTTTAATTTTGTTTACACTATTATCTTCACCTCTAATTTAGCCTTCCAGAGAGACTGAATCAAAATACTGGTTTCCCAGAAACAGTATTTGAAAAACTCACTTGCAATCAATTTGGAGAACTGAAAGACAAGGGTAAGTTTAGAGTGCAGCATGAGGCACATAATAACACCACAATAACACCAACCGCATCATTGTCGTGGGCAAGAGCAAAGAACTACACCGTAGTGCAAGTACGAAGGGAGCAGAGTTTACATTGCAATTTTAAGATGTCTTTTTGCCATTTGCTTCCCTTTTATTCCCTCCTACAAATACACACCGCTCAATGGATGAGGCCTGATTCAATGATAGCTCAGGGGGATTGAACTAGAAAGTTACTTATAGATGATTGAGCTAATAAGAAATCTAAAGAATTATGATCATCATAATTATGCCTTGTGTCCTTCTCTCTTCACCAGGCAGGGTGGCGCAGTGATTAGAATGCAGTATTGCAGGCTAATTCTGCTGATTGCCAGCAGTTCGATTCTCACTGACTCAAGGTTGACTCAGCCTTCCATCCTTCTGAGGATTGTAAAATGAGAACCCAGATTGTTGGGGACAATATGCTGACTCTGTAAATCGCTTCGAGAGAGTGTTGTAAAGCACTATGAAGCAGTATATAAGTCTAAGTGCTATTGCTATTACTCTCCCAATGTTCATTGTAAATGAGTTTATTCTCCTTCCACACCAAATCTAGTCAAGCTTTTTTTTTTTGCAGGTTGGTGGTGGCAGTGTAAGGGTTGAAAAAGTCTCATTTTAGCCCAAGTCCACTGGGCTAAAAATAAACCAAGAGCTATCTGGCAGCGGTTAGTTTCAAGTCCTCCTAAAAGAAGGCAGTATTATCCTGGGATGTGCTCAGATAAACCATACCAGATGGTAGGACTGGCTATATCATTATGCAGAGAGGAGGAGGAGCCTTAGGTGGCATTTGCTGAGCAGGATGGATAGCACTCAGCTTAATCACCATTTCTTCTGAGCATCCCAGAATGGAGCTGGAACTAGTCTATTGCCTCATTGCAAAACTCAAGAAGTCCATATTAAGGTGAGCAACCCATATTTTTCTTGGCCCTAGGTTGTCATATGTCCAAGTCTGCCACTTACAAGACCAAGACTTATTTAGCAAGTCAGTGAGCTGCAACCATGTCTTTGCCCCAATTTGGTGCCCGCTAGATGAGATGTATTACGATATCCATCATGCAAACCCAAGAGATACTTCTATCCTCTCTACTCTTCATCTTTTTCTCCCATCTGTCATAAACAAGGTCTCATTGTTTTTCATGAAATTGTTTATTGTAATCTTTAACAAAGTAGGAACGGTGAATGGGAGTTGCCTCCAGTCCTCGCCCTACGCAAGTCTTCAGTCTTCCTTCTCATCTCCATGTGTGATGATATAACACAAAGATTTATAGTCAATGTTTCCAGCTACATCCATGGGAGCAAGAGAAAACATTTGCTCTACCTAGATAGGAAGAAACAGAGAGTCTAGAATAAGTATGGGAAATCACAGTCGATCAACTTTTGAAGGTCTTGCAGTAAGATCCCTGAGGATTCCTCTCTCCATCAAAGCCTTGGCTAATGGTAAACAATCCATTGGTCACATCAGGGTCTTCAGTCTTTCTAACAGCTCCTGAGAACACCGAGAGTTTTTCAAAAAGCAAAAGCAAACTTCCAAAATTTGGTGAGGTGTTTTGAAAAAAGAAAAAAGATGTGTTAAATAGATCTAAATGCAATGATTAAATGACAAAACCTCAGGATCTGAAAAGTGAAATTAAAAATCCCATGTGTCATGTCCAAACATGTAGCCAAGGATATCCATTTTGAACCAAATTCTATCAGTATCAAGCATAGATCAATTGATATATAGAGAGAAAGGCATCTCCCAGCTTTGGTGAACTTGTGAGAAAAATTTTCTTGCTAAAGAAGGGATTTTGACAGTAGGATTACCTCACCTCCTCGAGAGAAAACTTGTCAGCTTGAGTTACCAGAAGTTGTTTAAACCTGGAAAACAATTTTTAAAAAGTGTTGTTTAAATGTGTCATTGTTGTTGAAAACATTGCCTACAGAACTCTGGTTTTGGTTTTTTTAATAGAAGGCCTGAAGGGATAATAAAACACATACACAAACACACAGTTCTTGAACTTACTCCTCTTTGTTCACTAAGCCAGTTCCATTTGGGTCAAAGAGTTTGAAGGCAGCAAGGATGGATTCCTCTGGATCAGTACCTACAGATGATACGGTTACTTAAGAACAGATAAAACTGCCTTTTGGAGTTCTTTTCATTGGATATGGATGGCTCTCAATATTGCTTAAATCAGGCATGTGCACAATGTTTTCCAAGTTAGAGGATACACTTGGCCAGAAGCATCCGTCTAAATAAATAGTATCATAAAGCTAAATTGGAGTTCATATTATTTAAATTGAATTAAAATAGACAATATGTTTACTGTCATGGATTTAATATTTCTCGTCTTCTATCACATTAAAACAACAACTGTGAGGTTTCCAGAAAATGCATCCAAGGCTTTAGGATGCTGCTTGTCACCCCACAATCCCAGGAATTATTGACTGGTTATTAACCTGGTTATTGAATTAATTGATTTCCTGGGTTGGTACTATACATTGAATTTAAAGTCACTGAAACAGGCTGGTTTTATGCAACATGTTCGCCTACTAGTAAAATAAAGATGCACTTACCCAAGTTTCTTTACTTATTTTGCAGATGTACATCCCATTAAATCTAACCAAATTTAGGTGGCATGAATGCATCTATTAAAGCTTTATTAAATCTGATTAAATATATGATGCAAATCAGGGGTGGGTTTCTATTGGTTCGCCTTTGGTTCAAGTGAACCGCTAGCAGTGGGAGGATCCGCCAACCCGCCCAGATGTCATAAAAAATGCTCTGCGCATGTGCAGAAGTGTCGCACGCTCATAAGCGAGCACGCATGCACTACCAATAGCGAACCGGTAGCGCCGGGATTTGAATCCCATCTCTGATGCAAATGCAGCCCCTGACTGCCGGCAGCTCTTTAGGATTTCAAATAACAAAAGTTTTTTTCCCCCCTGGAGATATCTGGAGTTTTCTTCATGCATAATAGTGGAACTCTGCCACTTAACTGTAGCTTAAGAGTGAATCTTGTATGGGGAACATGTTCCCTCTTGTCTTGGGAGAGAAATGACAGAAGATGTCAACATTCTAAGAAGAAATGGAAATTTGGGAGTGTTGGAACAAAAAGAAAATATTGAGCCTCATCATGATTAATGAGCAAATTCCAAGATGTGATAATGTAATTTACCATTCAGTTTCTCCCCAAAGAGTGTTAAGAAGACAGTGAAGTTAATTGGTCCTTTCCCTTCCTTCAGCATCTCTTCCAGCTCTTCATCCTTCACATTCAGTTTGCCTGTAGAGAGAAAGCTGATCGCAGTCAACATTCCTAACTGGGTATATTGTCTATTGTCTGCTTTGTCCAATTGTGAGTCCAAAATGCCTTCCAGAATATAGCAGATGTGGAATGTTTGAACAGAACAAGGCTCAATTCCTGAATGCTTTGTTTTCACTTTTGTACAAAATAACAAAGTTGGAAGAGACCTTGGCGATCTTCTAGATCATGAGGAAATAATCCAGATTCCCAACATCTGGGGAGAATATCAGATTTGGGGGATTTTGGTAACATCTCTACTTACCAACAGACTTCCAATAGCTGCCCTTTCAGAGATGGCATCATTTGAAGGTATATTTTCCCTTAACATGGCCTTCAGGACAAGACAATACCAGGACAAAGCAGTGAACCAGTTCATATACAACATGATAATTTTACAATCACTAGCACTGATTATGTTACCTAGTTTGGTAATAAAATGTTTTCAAGCGAACAACCAGGCTCAGAGAGCTCCAAGGCCCCCATAGTTCAACCCCGAGCTACAAATATTCTCTTTCTATCAGTAACCATTTTCTCTGCATATTAAACATTATAATTTTAGAAGCAATACTTAGACATCTTGGTATTTTGCATCCTAGAATTGAGGGGACACATCCAGCCCTAGGACCTTCAGATTTTCTTCCTCTCCTCTAAAGAAAGAATGCCTTGAAACAAAAGACTGCCCCTTTGATGGGTCTTCCAATGTCAAATTAAGGCACAGTATACCAGCCGTTGCATGCATGATAAAAAGGGAAAGTTCATTCCATCTTATGAAACTGATGAACTGTTTATTAACAGTAACACCATCCAGAATTGAAGAGGAGTACTTAGAGCTCCAAAAATAACCCAACTACAGCTAGTGCTACAGATAAGCAAATTCCATCTCCCCCTCCCTTCTTCACTATACTACCACTTGAAAGACCACTGCAAATTTTGCATTTCAGTCCAGAGAAATGTAACTACTTCTTCAAAAGAAGGAATTAAGAGCAGAGGGGAGCAGAACTTAATCCTAAAGGACATGCACTCTCTCTGTTTTTGCAAAGAAAACATCCCTATTGTCTCTAGCATGGAAAGAACAAGAGCAGGGGTGATAGCTGAAAAGGAAAACATGAGAAATGTTTCTCTTTACCTCAGACCTGAAAAGCTGTTCCTGGTCAGAGTAAGCAGTACTGAACAAATTAAATAAATAGTCCAACTCAGGGGTGTCCAACATTAGCAACTTTAGGACTTGTGGACTTTAACTTCCAAAATTCTCCACCCAGCATGGCTGGCTGGGGAATTGTGGGAGTTGAAGCAGAGGTGGGTTTCAGCAGGTTCTGACAGTTCTGAAGAACCGGTAGCAGAAATTCTGAGTAGTTCGGAGAACCGGTAAATACCATCTCTGACTGGCCCCGCCCCCATCTATTCTCTGCCTCCCGAGTTTCAGTTGATCAAGAGGAAATGGGGATTTTGCAGTATCCTTCCCCTGGAGTGGGGTGGGAATGGAGATTTTACATTATCCTTCCCCTGCCACACCCACCAAGCCATGCCACGCCCACCAAGCCATGCCCACAGAACCGGTAGTAAAAAAATTTGAATCCCACTACTGAGTCCACAAGTCTTAAAGTTGCTAATATTGAACACCTTTGGTCTAGATCAGTGTTTCTCAACCTTGGAAGCTTGAAGATGGGTGGACTTCAACTCCCAGAATCCCCCAGCCAGCAGCGCTGGCTGAGGGTTTCTGGGAGTTGAAGTCCACCCATCTTCAAGCTTCCAAGGTTGAGAAACACTGGTCTAGATGGTTTAATTTATTTTCCACTATTCCAGGGCCTGATTAGTGTAACCCTTTACATCTTACTACCCTTACCATGAATTTACTATACAATGTCCATGAATAAACATATTAGCTGATTGAATCCGGCTTTCAAGTTTGGAAGAGATCAGAATTTTGTGACATTCTGCTGGAAAACTGGCAGTCAAGTCCCAGGAAAGTGCCAGGCTGTTTTTATTTCTATCTGCTAAGATCTTTAGTAAAGAAAAGATTCCTGAACTTGCTCAGATTGTTGTTTCATAACCAGAGTAAAGTCACTCACCGAGTTGACTGTATGTCTCCTTCAAATCAGATTTGCTGATAATTCCATCTCGATTCTGGTCAATGCAACTAAATGCCTTGGAGAATAAGCAAACTTGCTCAGATTCCTTAAGCACAATTACTCATACAAATATGTTCTGTCTTGTATTCTCAGGAACCACATTTCTTCAGGCTGTTATCTCTCCTGTGAGTATGCTCTTTTAAGAGCTTAGAAATCCTTGATGCTTGACAGAAGCCACAAGTGTTTTTATTCCTTCCCTCACTTGCATGCAGTATCTTCCTAATGTTTTTTCTGAAAATTTGCAAATGATAAACACCAGTATGAAAAATAAAGCTGGTGCCCCAAAACTGGATTTGGAAGGTATTTATTCTTTTTTAAAAAAATTAAAACATCCCTGCAAGATGTTTCACACTCTTTCCTTTTATTGTTCGTATTAATGAGGGAACTGGCTATCAAATAGGGCAAAACATCTTCCCATTCAAGATACATATTGCCTCCACTCTTATTGGTTCTGTGAGGTCACTATATGGCTAAAATCTGATTATTCACATGGCACTTGACATCATTATCCTTAGCTAGATCAAGCAGTCTGCAAGAAAAAAAATTCCCCTTTTGAAGGAACAACAGGTACAGTATAATCATCATTGCAACAAATCAGCTGCTGAAATGGCATTAAAAGAGAACAGCATAACATGACACAAGAAATATTTTAAAAAGAAGCATGTATCAGATCCAAGCTGGATAGTTTTGATTGAAAATTTCTTAGCTACAGGATCCTAGGATTTGCTCACCTCTTTAAACTCCTGGATCTGTGACTGCTCAAACATTGAAAAGACGTTGGAAGAACCTCTCTGTGCCCGCTTAGCAGCAGTTTTGCTTCGTGTCCCGGCTTTTCTGCTAGCCTAGAAAAAGAAAAAAGGATCAATAGAGAATCCACAGTCCTAAGGCCCAGCTAATACAAACCAAGGTGTTCTTGTTATCCCAGAAAATAGTGTTTCTTATACCTTTTTGCTCCCAGAACAATTCCCTGTTTTTAAAACTTATGGAGGACCCTTCAAAATGCTTTTGCTTCCATGGGTTATATTTATCAACACTAACCATATTAAAAATTAAAATTAATGACTCCATGGAATATATTTATTGACTCAGTTTAAGACAAGCAATAGACTCATTAGAGATTAACATATAATATTATTCCCAAAGAAACCTATATTTTTCAGCAAATAAAAATACTTTTAAAATGCCCTCATTTTAAAAGTTTGCAGATACCTTCCATATCTGGCAAATATTGTGAGGAGCTCTGAAAGGGTCTTGGGGATCTCTTAAGGGTCCTAGGACCACACTTTAAGAAACACTGCTGTAGAACAACCAAACAGACTAGCTCCTACATTCTTGTAAAGCATGAAAGAAACAAGATACATAACATTTCTGACATTCTCAATTCTTATACCCTCTGTAGATTCACTGAACTCACTGGATGGATGGATGGAGGGATGGATGGATGGATGGAGAGAAGGGGCAGGAACCCTACCCATTACAAAAAAGCCCTTTCTTTGCTTCCATGCTACCCTTCTTTGTAACGGTGTCTCAATGCAAAGCAAAGAATCCGAAAGATCCAAGTACCAAAACGAAACAGCTTTCAAAAAATCAGGATTATCCCTGGAAGCAGTTAAAGCTGATGCAGTATGCCTTAAAGCATGCCACAATTTTATTTTTGTTCAGCAATTTCTTATTGACTTTCTACAAAAACTGTGTTCAACCCTCACTGAGATATGAGATTTTTCCAGCATGATTAAAGCATGCATTTTTGCTTAATTTTGTTTTTGCAGGCATAAATGCTCAACTGCGGCTTGCTTGTTCACACTAAGGACTGAAAAAAATATATGTAGGCTCCTCATCTTAAAGTTAATGTGGGAGAGGGAGGGGGGAAGAGAGAGAGAGAGAGAGAAAGATGTCTGCAAGAAATTCAACAGAGCAACAATGGATATGAGGTCTTACTCACCATTTTGGGTTTCCTCCTGAAGAACAAAGGTTGACCAGTTGGTGTTAATTCATCTTATATCTCAGAGCTTATCTCTTAGTGAGCTAAATTAGGAACTCAGTTGCAGAAGACAGCCAAACTTGGTTGTCTTCTAGCTCTGACACTATAACGATTGATAAGGCCCAGAGAATAGCGTTTAGCAGGCTTCACTGATGGAAAAAAGTTGGATGTTCAAGTTGAGCATTCCCTTCGGAATAGAATTTTCCTGGCTGACCCCAAATGGGTGCTGTATATATTAACAGTTGATTGTAGGACACACCCACTTTACCACCATTTTTATCCATGAAATTATTTAAAGCAAACCTACTAGAATTTCCTACTTAAAGCAAACCTACTAGACTTGCTAGAGTCACTCATTATGTACCAGTGAGAATCCCACTAGGCTGATTAACAAAGAGCAGAAAAACAATATTGTAAACTGCCATCCCACCCCCATTCCTGGGCAGTAAAGTTCATTTGCAAAAAAGAGCCGAGGTGGCACAGTGGTTAGACTGCAGTACTGCAGCTACTTCAGCTGACTGCTAGTTCAGCAGATCAGTGGATCAAATCTCACGGCTCAAGGTTGACTCAGCCTTCCATCCTTCCGAGGTGGGTAAAATGAGGACCCAGTTTGTGGGGCCAATATGCTATTTAGTATACTGTCTTTGGTGTAAGCCGCCCAGAGTCCTCAGAGAGTAGGCAGCAGAGAAATATGACTAATAAATAAATAAATGGGGGAAGAGTTTACCAGCCATTCACCCCTCCAATCTTTAAAATTAGTAACTTGAAATTTTTAAGTTAGAACCAAAATTTAAAACATCAGACTTCCAGAAAATTGATAGACACATATGTAAAGAAAGTTTCCTTCACAAACTTCAGGAGGGAGCCTGCCAATAAACTAATAGATTAATCCCCTAAATGGATTTGCCCCCCAATGGGATTTTCCCATGTATTTTACCAGGAAATGTGAATAAGGCAGGCACTAAAACTCAGTGCCCTCCTGAGCATACCCATGCATTCCAAATCCATTGGCGATGTCCATTTTGCTCCCTGAATTCATGGAGACCTAACCCTAACCCTAAGTGCATTTGCCAATGGAATTTTTCCATGTATTTTAGCAGGATTACCATGTCAGTTGCCACTATTATGGGATGAGTTGTGTTTTGGTTTCATTTAAATGGTGAATGATCTCTGGCGGGCCCGGGATGGGGGTTATGTGAAATGTTTCCAAGGATCTTACCCAATGACTCCAACACGAAATGCAATGAATCAGATCTCTTTATTAATCAGATGTTTCTATTACAGGTATACATCTGGAAGTGGATCTGGATCATCTGGACCACATCTTATATACCTGGGAGGTGGAGCTGAGGTAAGGAGGGGTCAGAGGAGGGTCTAGGTGGGTGGATGGGTGTAGTTAACCCTTACTCAGCCAGTGGGCAACGTTAGGCATTTACATGCAACAAATCCCCCTCTAAATGCCTAACAGTTGGCCCCGTGTGCGTATTTTGTGTGTGTACACCTAGTCTTGAAGTTAGGTAGGCGTGCTGTTTATTCTGCAAAGGTTTGGTCAGGATGTCAGTGATTTGCTCGGCAGTTTCGCAGTGTATTGCCTTGATAAAACCAATGTTCGTTAGCTGTCTGATGTGCTTGTACTTAATGTCTATATGTCTAGATCTCTGGCCCACTGCGTCTGCCATGGATATATCTATGGCTGCCTTGTTGTCCTCATGTATCATTATGGGGTAGATTGGTTCAGTCCAGATGTTGGAGAGCAGGTCGTCAAACCACGTCAGGTTGTTGGCTGCCTTGGAGAGACAGATGTATTCTGCTTCGGCCTTAGATGTGGCCACCAGGTTTTGTTTCCCAGTGTACCAGTGCACTGGGCAGCTGTTGATGAGGGATACATAGCCAGATGTGCTTTTCCTGCTTTTTGTATCACCTGCCCAGTCAGTGTCAGCATAGCAGGTTAATATGGGCCTTTTGGAGTTCGCTGGCTCTAGGTTTAGGTAAGCATCCACGCTATATTTTAGATATCTGAGCACGCATTTTACACCTTCCCAGTGGTACGTTTTTGGATCGCTCACGTGTCTAGACAAGAGGTTGACCGCTAGGAGAATATCTGGCCTAGTCCAGTTGGCTATGTATAGGAGGGACCCAACGACAGACCTATAGAGGGTATTGTCCTTAAATGCCTCACCTTCTTCGTTCATGTGTTTTAAAAAGTCAATTTGCATGGGTGTTTCACATGGCTTGGCATCCCTCATGTTGCACTTGTGTAATAGTTCTAATATTTTCTCCTTTTGGGAGACCCTGAACCCTTTCTGCGTTCTGTCGATCTGGACACCCAAGTATTTGTTTACCTTTCCCAGAGTTTTTAGTGCGAAATGCTTCCCCAACTTGTCAGCGAAATCATCACATTTTTGTTTATGTTGGCCACAGTACAAAATATCATCCACATAAACAAGCACGTATTCGATGGATGTGCCCTCCCCTTTTGTGAAGAAGCATAGGTCAGCGGAGAACCCCATGTCCCTGAGGATTTTTGCTAGGCACTCATACCACCTCTTACCGGATTGTTTCAGCCCATACAGACTCTTGTTTAACAACCAGGTATCCCCCTCCTGTGCCCGGGGGGTGCCCTGACGAAGATCTCTTTGTCTAGCTTCGCGTGAAGATATGCTGTCTGCACATCAAATTGGTAGATTTCTAGTCCTAGAATTGTTGCTATCACCAGGATGCTCTTTACACTCTCGGCCCTGACCGTGGGTGAATATGTGTTGGTGTAGTCCTCCTGGTACTTTTGCGCAAACCCCTGTGCTACTAACCTAGCCTTGTACAGGGTCTTATTGTCCTCGAGCTCCTTTATTTTCAAAACCCACCTTGTCCCAATGGGTACTTTGTTGTCTGGTACTTTGGATGGGGTATACACATTTAGCTCTCTCAGGTTGTTCATCTCCTTGTCCATGGCCTCCTCCCACCTAATCCTTTCTTCTCGTGGCAACCTAAGAATGTCCTCGTAAGAGTTGGGTGTCGTGGTGTTTGTGTGTACTGAGAGTATGTAATCTTCAAACTTTTTTGGCATTTTGTTCCTGTTGTGTCTGACGGGCCTGTCGGGTAGTGTCTCTGTGTCATGCATGTATTTGGCTTCCTTCTCTGTGAGTGCATCTACCTTTATGACGGGGTGGTCCTCTTTCCATCCCTTGGTGTCTACCCCTTGGTATTTGGGTTTGTGTTTCTTGTGTGCCTCGGTTTCAGCTGTGTCTAGTCTACTCGTGGCCCTTACATTATCTGAGGTTTCCTGCCTGAACAGCACTTTGTTGAGATGTATTTTTGACCAGTTTGTGTTTTCATGGAACACTGCTGTTCTAGATACGATAAATCTATTGTCCTTATCAATAAACCTGTACCCTTTTGTCCCAGACTCGTATCCCATAAATCTTAGCCTCCTTGATACCTTGTCCCCCTTTCGTCTTAACTGCTTTGGTATATGTACGTCCGCAGTGACCCCAAATACGTGTAGGTGAGCTATTTGGGGTTTCCTATTGTACATAATCTCATAGGGAGTTTTGTTCACCATGCTTGACCATAGCCTGTTCAGTGTGTAGTTTGAGTATGTGAGTGCCTCTGCCCAGAAGTGTTGCCCCAGCCCTGCGTCTTCTAATACGCATCTTACCATTGTTTGTAATATGCCATTCCTGCGTTCTGACACTCCGTTCTGGAAGGCGGAAAAAGGCGCCGAAGTAAAGTGTAATATCCCATGTTTCTTTGTCCAATTGGAGAAGTCCCTTGATAGGAACTCTGACCCTCTATCTGTCATAATTTGTTTTATTTTTATGTTGTGTTGTGTTTCTACCCTTCTGTAAAATTCTTTGAACTTTTGAAACACCTCATTTTTGTGATTGATCGTGTACATGAACCTGTAACGACTGAAGTCATCAACTATAGTTAGAAAAAACCTCTTTTTGTACTTAATCGAGGGTTTCATGGGGCCTACCAAGTCCATGTGGACTAACTGAAAGGTCGAATTGGTGGTGCGAGAGGCCTTTTTTGGTCTAGGTTTTGTTTTTAGTTTAGAGCATTTGCACATGGAACACTCTAGGTAATTGTCACAATTCTTTACTTGCAAACCGTTTGTACATTCAGTCATTTTTTGTATAATTGGGAAACTGGCGTGGCCCAACTTCCTATGAAGTAGGTGGGCGCATTCATCGTGGATGGGTTTGCCAATGGATGGCCTCCCCTTGTGCTGTGTCAGGTGTCGAGTGTCAGCCATTCCCTCGACACATGATTCCGGGGACTGTGACAAGCCAGAAGAACAGAGACACGGTGAAGGGGGGTGTTGTAGCGTTTAGCAGGGCATGGTGATATCAGGTGGTGGACGGTATAGGGAATCTGGGGACAGGGTCAATAAAATGATGTCAAAGGAAACAAACGCCCTTCAATACGAGGGACAGCGAGATCCGGAAGTAACTGGCAATCCACAATGAACCTGAAGGAGTAAATAGCGCGGTCACTTTAAATGCACAATTGAGCAATGGCGGGGCTCTTGGGGGCGTTCTATAAAGCCAGATAAGCGGAGGAATCGGGCGTCTCCGACTTTGTTTTTCATCAGAAAACTTCAGCGCTTACTGTATGACCACTGTGTGAGCTACGATTAAACCGGATAGCTTCACCTTGGAGTGTGTGCGTGTGGTGTTTGTTCGGCGGAGCACAGGTGGTTCCAGAGGAGGCTAACAGAAAGTCGGAGACACTTTATTCTTCTGTCTGAGGACTGCAAGCAGCTGTGATGGCAGAGGGCGTGACGAATGATGCCACCGTGTTGGATCTGGGGACGGAGCTGAAGGCAGAGGAGGGGGAGAATGTGGAGATGGAGGAGCATTGCGAACAGCCAGTGGTACCCCCCAAACAGAGAGTGGTGTCGCCCCCGCTGCCAGAAGACAAGCAGGAAAGACAGGATTCATTGGGGACTGAAGCTGCTCGAAAAACATCTGGGAATTGGTGGCAAAGTACCATTATACTGGGGAAGTTGGGGTTTCAGACGTCAGCTACCCCCCCTCTAGCCCCTCAATTCCAAGGGTGGCGGGAAAGGTGATGGACGGAGGAGGAGGAAGAGGGGGACTGGAGTTATTCTTC